GTCTTGAACTCCCGACCTCAGGTGATCCGCCCGCCTCGGCCTCCCAAAGTGCTGGGATTACAGGCGTGAGCCTTTGTGCCTGACCCTTTTTTTTTTTGTTTTGAGACAGAGTCTCATCCTGTCACCCAGACTGGAGTGCAGTGGCATGATCTTGGCTCACTGCAACCTCTGCCCACTGGGTCCAGGCAACTCTTGTGCCTCAGCCTCCTGAGTAGCTGGGACTACAGATGCGAGACACCATGCCCAGCTAATTTTTGTATTTTTAGTAGAGATGGGGTTTCACCATGTTGGCCAGGCTGGTCTCAAACTCCTGACCTCACGTGATCCACCCACCTCGGCCTCCCAAAGTGCTCAGATTATAGGCATGAGCCACTGTGCCCAACCCAGCCCCCAGTTCTTAACAATGACACTGTTTTACCTTTCACCATGCTATAAGGAAATGAACACACACACACACACACACACACACACACCCACCCCCCTAGGTTGAACTCCCTGAACACACCATTTACCCTGAAATTTGGCTCTTTTAGCTCACGAGCTTGCTATTGCTCAGGTCTCTTATATAGCTACTTCTTTGGGAATGGATCGCAGAGGTTTATTTGTCACATTATCAGGTGGTCTTACTATCCTCTCATCATATGTCATTTGTACTCTAAATACTATTATTTAGAGCAGTGATAGACTTATTCTAGGTGAATAGACTTAGCTTTGAATATTATTTTCTGTTGTTAACTGGCTGTTGGGACATCAAGCAAGTCAGCATTCTCATCTGAAATGGGGATGGATATATCTTCTTCACATGATTTTTATCAGAATTAAATTAGATAACTTGTACCTAGCAGAGGCGGGGCCCAGTAGGAAGTCAACAACATTAGTCATTTTATGCTTTCCTATTTCATTTAGGGATCAAGAGAGGCAGTTGGAATCTAAGGGGGACGCTAGTAACTCCTCCCTTAAGATTTCTCAGGAAACAGCAAACATAGTAGAAATAGTGTATGCTTAGGAATTAGATATAAGGATGTGGAATCAGATAATAGTATAT